TATATCGCTCACTCACCCAGTGGGATTACAATGACGCCAGTTTGCTTTGCGATTTGCATTGCTAGTGACGATGGAGAAACATTGCCTTGGGTCTTGGCGTGTCCGTGTGGGGAAATATATACTTGTCCTTGTTAGCGTTCTAGTTAGTAGCGGTAATTGCATCTCGTGCCCACGCCGTTGACCATTGTTCTTGATCGACTCGCTGATGATTCCGGGTTTGTTCCCGTTTGCGTCGTAACGCTGCGCGTATGCGTGCAGCAAGTACTAGTAGCTACGAGCAGCTCGTTCGCCATGTGTAGAAACCGACGCGAGGTTGATTTAAAGTGGTTCTGGGGTGGTACACTCCGAAACAGTAAACGAACTAGCCGTAGGGACCCGAACTACAATCGCGATCCAGCTGAACAGCAAGCGCGACCAGAACAACGAGGTGGTTCGTGTCATGTCAACTACGTGAATCAGCGAAGACTGGTTACGCCTGATCATCAAGGTACAAAATCAGATTCCTAGAAACTGCAACCCTACATAGGACGCGACGAATATCTCGCTGATATCGGCCTCTAATGACGATGTCTCTTTTGTCGTCGAAAAGGGCGTTAGAGATGGCGCAAATGCCGTCTTGTGGTGGCATCCAAAGCAAATGCTTGCCAATCGGGTATGAAGGTACTTTGCTGCCGGCGTTGTTGGCTCGTACCAAGATGCTCAGAATGCATACACCCACGCAGGTTTCTGTTCTGTAGTGGTATCGCTAGAGTAGCCAAGTCGATTCGACAGAAGCTCAACTGGTCTGCACCGTTCTTCGCCTAGCACTTGGCCTTGGTGTGTGATCAGGTGCTTGCCACACAGTCACCGTACGTTCGACGTTCCTGGCGTGAGACTCGCAGTGCCAAAATCGTACAGACAGTAGCATCGCACTCGCTGCTAAAGTCGTCGTCCATTCGAAATCCGAAGTCCTTTTGCATCAAAGCCCAAAGTGCGCAGCAGCGAGCGATGTCGGCGCCGGATACGGATTGCTCTCACCGGTTACCGTGATGTGTTGTGACATCGGCGTGATCCCGGACCGTTACATATCTCCTGATGGTTACTCAACTCCGAACGGTTACGTATCGCCACATAGTTTGAAACCGTCCAGAATACATGGATGTCGAGCGTTCTTAAACCCAGCATGATGGCGGAGAGCGTGCCACTGGCACGACCCGCGCGACAGATGCACGGATGTCAGGTGCCTACATGAAATCAAATCCCTCGAGTCAAGTACTAGTACAGGGTTTGTACAGAGATCGAGTGATGGAGGCACAGGTTGCCGATCCTTGCGAACAAAGAATTTTCTTGACTTGAACAATGTAGTTTCGTCGAATGAAGGCACTGCAGTGTTGTTCGTTATGCAGTGCACCGAAGCACCAAGATACGGCTGTTTCATACGTGAACCTGTTGGGCTTGAACAATAGCGATAAGCGCCGAGAAGCAGGGCTACCATGCTACAAGCTTGCCCACGATGTGCAGCGAACATGTAAACGTTCGGCAGAGAATGCTGTTTGCTGGTAGTAACTTGGTCGACGACCACGCAGCACCCGAGAGCGCAGTACGTGAGTTTCGAGACAAAGCCCTGCATCGCGGCTGCGACATCGCTAGTACATGATGCTATTGGCCTTGCAAAACCTTCGATTTGGAATATAGCTCAAGGCGACGCAGCGAAGCAACCAGTCCGAGCTTCTGCTACCGGCCATATTGGACGAAGAAGAAGAACACAAGCACGCCATGGTCAGTGCTTCGAATTTTTGTCCAATCACAGTGCCATAGGACCCAACTTTTCGCCAATCCCCTCTCACACGAGTGAGAGGGACGCTTCAGGATCAGTTCATGACCACCACAGCGGTGCAATGCTAAACACGCACATGATGCGTACTGTGACTGGGGAACATATCAAAAACATGTTGAAACAAGGAAGTATTGCCTACACTACACCACGTACAGCCACTTAATGCAGACACGCAAAACTCTGTTTGCGCAGCGTCGCCAGTTGCGCCTGGGCCTCTTGCGCCAAGTAGACAAACGCTGCCGTCGGGTGCCGGTTCGGCACATATGCTGTCGAGCCGAGACGTCGCGGTACATATTGTCCCAGAAGCATGCCCGACCCCAGCTTCTTGGA